ACCGTAGGGTCTTATGTGCTTATATTGAGTATTGTGACATCCTGCATTATGTCTTTGTGATTTATGTTGTGTATTATTCTAAGCTTCATTGAGTTAGGACCGGAGGGTCCAACCCGAGTTGTGGGACCGGAGGGTCTCCACTGAGACACATTGACCGAAGGGTCTGTATTGAGATATAGCCATGAGAGGCTAATGAGATGTGTGTGGTAATTTGGGAAACTCACTAAGCTTCGTGCTTACCGTGTTATGTGATATGTGTTTCAGGTACTTCTCAGGATCGCGGGAAGGCGCCGACTTGATTGTACACATGAGATGGAGTTATGTTTTGAGGATCCTGTATTTTTATTCAACAACTATGGATATGTGTTTTTGATAAATTGACACTTTGGGTTTTGTGAAATGTGTTTATGAGAATTATGTGATTTTTAAAATGAGAACAAAAAATTGTTTGAAGATTACGCTGTTACAAAAGTAATATATTAGTTTTTAGAATTAATTTATTTGTACAAAAAATGTAACAAGAAATCAAGTTGGAACCATTTTTTGAAGACAATAGAGCAATTTTCAAGTCTATAAGGTGTGCAGGATTTTCAGTAATATTTTCTGAAAAGTGTCGCTAATGCTGTTTACAAAGGGTTGTTGGACTTTTAGCGACAGTTGCTGAATTTTAGCCTTCAAGAAGTTTTTCCTATCTTCTGCAAGCAATGGGTGTTTACTCATATGGGAGCTTCTACAACAACATTACAATAAGTTTTTGGTCCCTTTAAATGTCCCTTTCGGAATGGACTTGACATTTTTGTGTTGGCTCACAAAATATCATTAGTTGGCTATGTTTATGCACATATCTTTTTATGCATGTTTGTGTTGTTTATTTTATGCAATTATTATGTGTGGTTGATAAATTAGTTTTTCACATGCTAAAATAATTTTGGACAAAATAAACATCACATGGAGTTTGGGTTTTTCAAAATTAGACATAAGATGTAACAAGTTATTATTTTAAAATAAAACCTGGTTTTATAAAATCGTTAATAACGGTAAATTTTGAAATACTTCATTATAAGTTTTAAAATGACGATTTTTATAACTTATACAAACTCCAAATATACAAGTAATAAAATGAAGTTTTATTAAAGATATAAAAGGTTGAAAGGAGTTTAAACTTAATACCGATTATTAAATTGAATTGCGTCAAATTATATAAAAACTAGCTTTTTTATATAGAACATTTAAAAGTGTTTTTCTTTTGAAAATTGATACCATGGTTTATTATATGCATGTAATAACCATGATATCATATGTTTTTAAAATAGAATTATGAAACATATAAAGACCATTTTTTTGCAAACCTCAAATCTATGCAATCCTTTTGAAGAACACTCGCACATCTCTTGTATGCACTAGTGAGATAAAGGATACCTAACCGCTTAGTATTGTCTTTTGATGGCCGGGGTGTCTTCACGATTTCTATAACCAAGTTATAGGTCGATTACACAAGTTTTTCAAATTGGAAGATTTGATCGGAAATCTTTTGTGATAAAGGATACCTAAGCAAGAGAGTTCCGAGGCATAGATTGGATCAAACATGTCTAATTAAATTTGTTATTAGTGATCCCATAAATCTAGGAATTATATAGTAAGATATAATTGATAATCGATATCTACCGAGTTGAATTCAAATGGATGGGATAAAGGATAGCTAACCATTTATTTGTTTTGCAACTTGGATCCTAGACTTTGATGATTAATGTTTTTGGAAACTAAAAAGGTATTAATTATTGAAGATTAAATATTGAAAATACTAAATGAATTTTGTTAAAATTTTGTAGTTATATAATCTATTCTCATTATCGTGAATTGTCATTTTCTTTAATGACTAAATGAAACAATAACATTAAATAGATACAACTTCAATGAATGGGTTCATGTATTGAGAGACAATCTCATGAGAGATATGAAATTGTATACACTTAAAGGTCCTAGTCCTAAACTATTTGCTTTGAGCAATGAGCCTGAACATGATACCTAGTAAAGGCATCACTGTGATGCTTAAGATGCTTCTAACATCAAGCTAGGAATAGTTATTCATGACTTCTAGGAAGTCTTGGATAATTTAAACATATATCTGAAGATATAACAGGTCAAGTAATATTCCAATAAATACAGTAATATTTTATTTAAAGCTATTTTAAAAATTGGAATAATGCAAGACTAAAATAGTCACCTAGTGTGATCTAAGAGGTCCATGTTTTATGGACTAAACACCTTTAAGCCCAAGAAATCTACTAAAGCCCACATGGATGGATCTTGTTTCTTTTAAGAAGAAATTGGACACTGGAAGAGGATTTATTCCTCTTATTTGGAAAAAAAGTATGGCAGAGACTAGTACTTCTAGTATCTACTAGATAGAACTCATACTTTTCATATAACACTTAGGTACTTGGTACTTAAATGTTAATCTAATATTTGTGAATGGCTTGCAAATATTTTTTAAATAGTAGCCAAGCTGAGCACAATCAAGTTGAAACTACACTCTCGGAGTTTAGTTTATTATTTATGTTTGGAACATAAATTACTTGTAATGTAAAACAATATTTGTTTTGGAAAAAAATTTGTTTTAATTTAGCATGTCTAAATTTATGTCTCAGTTATTTTATTCGAATGTTTGATCATTTACTCAATCGTTTTTTCATAACGATAATATTCATATTCTGAAATGATTAACTTCTATTTATGAGACTAGATCTCTTAATAGAATTATGAAGTGAATATCAACATTTTATAAATAAAATCAAGTTCTATATACAAGCACTTTTGACTTAAACTTGTTTTAAATCAAACTTATCTTTTACATTGTTATCTTTATTATATAAATGTCATTCACATATTCCAACTTCAAGAAAGGGATCTTTGAAGGAAAATAATGTATTTTACTTGACATATGTGAACCTTATTTATATGTAAAGGATTTCTAATGATATTTTCACTAAGGTTTAGAGAAAATAATTAAGGAACTATACACTTTGGTGTATGACTTCCTTTCTAATGAATGTCTGAGATTAAGCACAAGATACCAAGTCAACTTTGTCAACAACTATAGTAGTTTTAATTATATTTTACGTGGTAAAGCATAATTGTGAATTCTTGTTGAAGATTTCAAAAGTTGAGATGCAAACCAGTAAGAACCATCTAAGACCTTAATGATAATAAAGGATGAATTAAATCTTACTTGGTATGATTTACTTTCTAATCGGTAGAAATATCCTCCTTTAATCTTTTTGGGATAATACTTCAATCACTATTAATTGTATCTTGAATACAAATACCAACTAATAAGTAGATTAAACACTTTATAAGATTTAGTATAGAAGGGATCCATCTTCATCTTACTTAATATTTTGTGGATTTGCAGCCGATGTTGGACTAAAGCTTCTAAACCCAAAATCTACTAAAGACATATTTGTATAATACTCTAAATGTGACTTAGATTATTATATGCAAACCCGCCAAGAATAAGTCATCTTATTCTTGTAAAAGCTAGGTTAGTAGAAAGCAAGCTTCTAATGACAAAGCGAGTGGGAGGTACATGGAACTTGAAGCAGATCAAGAACCATAACCTTATGTAGTAATAGTTGACACTAGTTTTAAGAAGGATTGTTAAACTTGAATAATAGCTATTCACAAACACAAATTGTTCGCATTCATGGTAGAATTCATCTATGACTTGAGAAATGTGGAATCTCTCATTGATGAGCTTTTATTGATGGTTTCTGGAAAATCCATCAGAAACCAAGATTCTATGTCAGATCTCGAATCTGATAAATGACTTAGAGTCATGAACATGAGATGTAATCCATGTATGAGAATCAAGTATGGGCTTGATTAAAATTTATCCCTTTAGCAAGGCTAGAAGGAGACAATGATTCTTCTATAAAGAATAAATTACATTGATAACCATACACATTTAAAGCAAGACTTTTTTGTAAAATGATTCTCTCATACTCATGTCATTGACTATGGTCCTCATCATACTCATGACATTGACTGTGATCAAACCTTTTTCACAAGTAGCTATGATTAGATCAACAAGGATATTATTTACTATAAATTTGTATTCTTAGTATGAGATATAGCAAATAGATTTCAAGAAAGACCGATTCTCTTAATAGACATCTACGAGAAGATATCTATATAGATTAGCCTGAAGGTTTTCTTAATCCAAGTTATCTTAACAAAATGTGTAGAGCTTGAGATCCACTTCTGGACATAAAGCAAACATCTCAATGTTACAATCATCATTTCATATAAAACCATAGGGTATGTTTTATATTAAAATGAATAGAACATGTGTGTTTACTAAGAACTAGTGGGAGCATAGTGAAATTCCTAATCTTGTATGAATGAGACATACTTAATCATTTGAAATCGCATTCGGACTAAGCAATGTCGTTTTCAACTTGATTCGGAAAGTGTTTCTAAAATGAAAGACTTAGGAAGGAGAAAATACATTCTTGGAATGTAAAATCTATAAGAGATAGATAAAATAAATGTTAAAAGTTTCATGTCCTTATACATATATTGACAATATCTTGAAAGGGATCAAGACACAAGATTCTTTTGGAGAATTCTTGGCATTGTCATATGACACCATTTTAAGCTAGCCTGAAAAAGTACATAGTTCATAGGCTTGAACTAGATGAAATGATTTACATTCTATTTGCTTGACAAATGAATTCATCATTTACACCATATTATGAATAGGACATGGTATTTGATCATGCTGTAAGCATGTTATATGATACCAATTGAATACATGGTTAAGTCACTGGATGACTAAGAAAGCTTTCTATTGGTTTACTCTATTTTCGTATAATTTACTCTATTTTCTATTTTGAAAACTAGAAAACGTTGTTCAGATTAATATGTTTCTATTGGTTTTCATTTTATATAAAAAACTGATGGGATGGGTGGGTGGGGTGAGACGGTGGTAAATGCGGTGGTCATGGCGATGGTGGCGGTAGTGGGGGCGGAGGAAGCGGTAATGGAGGTGGCCTTTTCATTAACATTAATACACATCATTCACTTACATAATTAATTAATTAAACACCATCTTTAGTACATCTTATCCTGCGCAGCCCTGTTCATTTTAGCACAATACTCAAACAAACTCCCATCAAAGCAGCGCCTCACAGCCTCCTTCGACAGCATGCCTTCTTCATCCCTGGCAAGCACATACAATATCGCCCACTCCATCTTCCCCGAAGTCCTGCATAAAAGTTTCAACTTCTATTTTTTACTAAAAGAAAAGCTAAATTAGGGTTTGGTTATTTTTTTGAATCCAACTACCAACCATCCGAAGAAATCAAACGCTGCTCGATTCCCTTCAGTCATGTTCCATATCTCTCCCAGTGTCAGCTTGTCTGGTACTGTTTTAGCATACTTACTGAATATGTTCTCGAAGTTCACTGGTAAGTATCTGAAAATGAATATGAATTAGTTTCATCATCATCATAAGAAGAAGAAGAAAAGGTTCAAATTGATGGGAGATTATAAGAGTATGATTCAACTGACAGACCTTCCTTCAGTATCGTAAGTTCCCGAGTCGCTTCCATGTTTGGATCTATGGATGTTGTTAATGTAAATGGGGAAGAAAGGCGAAGGAATCCAACTCTAGAATGCAGGTTCAAATTTTGTTCAATTATAATCAATAGATAGAATTAGTTACGATTAGAGGAAGATAGAAGAATCTCGTACAGGTTGTGTGGGATAGCTCATTACGAAGTTCATAGCAATGGCTGCTAGGAGTGAGATCACGAAATTGAACCCTAATTGACGCATTCCTGAAATCCATACAAGTAATTCATCTGGATGTGAAGGATTATTGATAGTAATTTCCTTATCGACTCGTTTAAACATTCAATTGAATGTTGATATTTGTTCATCGGAGGAAGGTGCTCACCGGCGTACGTCTCCCATGGGTAAACAATTCCGTCGTCGTTTTGATCGAAGAAAGCAACATGCTGTTGGAGAACAGTCATGTCGTTGTGCCTGTACCCTAACGTTCCGTTTGGATGCTCGACATCTGGAGCTACAAGTCCCCTCGCCAAATCTGAAAATCATTACCATTTACCACAAAATCACCAACTTGTTATATGAAATCTAGATAAGCAATCAGAATCATGATTGGAAATCAAATTGTTACTAACATTACAACATATCTGGATAGAGTGATGAAGAACTTACAAGGTTTAGGAAGATGAATTTCCAAGTCAGTCCGAACTCTTCTCTCATAAGTCAACGGTTCACACTCCGCCTCCGGTGTCAAAGCACTGCCGTCGACGCCTCCGATCATCTTTGTCGCCATTTCTGTGTAGTCTGTTTCTTCGTCTTGTTTGAATGTATGTTGTCTGGTTTTAGCGTGCATGAGAGAATCGAGCTGATACGTGCGTCTTAAACTGGTTGAGGTGAAGCTGGAGACTGTGCTTACTCTCTTTGCGTTCCGCTACGTGCCCTACTTCCTTCCACGTGCTTTTTTCAATTTCCCTCCATTGTGTAGTCCATATTCCGTAGTCCATAGTATCTCATTTCAAACCGGGTACTGACCACATGAAATATTCGACCCGTTGTGAAAACTAGTGGGCCCATTCAAAGGAGAAGAACCCAACATTTTGTATTCCAAAATCTCTATTTTTAACTTTTTTTTTTCTATTTTGAAAAAGGGAAAATTATAAATTTATGCAACTATGTATTATATTTTTCTAGATTTATGCAACAATGTTATTTATTGTACATTCTATGCAATTATATTTTTAAATATGAAAAGATTATGCAGTGAATTAACTTTCTATCAATTATCAGTTATCTTTTTTAGTTTTTCCTTTACATTAATTACTTGGAAATTTCACATTTATTAAATTACACGTCATTTTTTACAGCGAGTAGTGCAACCCTTTCCGTTCTTGATGTCGTATTTCTTCTCCTTAAAATTGAAGTTGCAGGTTTGTGTTTTCTACATCATGTCTTCATCTAATGCATAATAAGTGAATTGTTTGCCATTGTATTTTGTCTTCATCTTTTTTATCATTGCATCATGTCTTTTCTTATTGGAATCCTTACTTTCTTTGATTGGCTAGGGTTACCGGTTCTTAGACCATGGAATTCGGGGTTGCATAATTTCAGCGTAAGTGGTAAAACATTACTAATTCTACGGACAATTGATTCTTATTCAACAATTGTTCGATATTTTTTATTTTTTTATGTAAGGTAAATGGGAATATCATGATCAACACCAAAATTTTGGTTGAGAACTAAAGAAATGGAAGAGAAATGATGGTTGCATCTTACTGACATTCATAATATATAGATAACCTGTCAAATTTTTGTAACATCCAAGATTGATCATGTTGGTTTTTAACTTTTGAAATTTCAGTTTATGGCATTATTGGTCCCCGAGATTGGAATCTTAACATTTTTGAGTATGCGGGGCGTAACTCTTATTACGCTAGGCGTAGAGGAACTTCGGGTGCGTATGCTGTCTCCAAGACTTTATATCCAACATTTGCTACTCATTTGGCACCACATTGAGGTATAAAGCTCAAATATTTGCTTGTGTTTCCTCAAGTTATTGGTTGAGGCTAGATTTCCCATTTTGACCCAAAAAGATTAGATCTTGGTGAGTATGAGCTACTACTAAGCCTTTTGTTGCATTTCCAGTTAGGGTCTAGTGTCTCAATGCTTAAAGGTGCAAGCTTTGAGGTGGTTTGGTCCCCATTCTTGAGATAAGACGTAGGAAAGGGCTTATGAGACTTGATCTTTGTTTTTAGACTTCTTGTAGCCATGCAAGGGCTTAAAGTTGGCAACTTTATAGCCCTAGAGGTATTAATGGGTCCAGATCTGAGTTTTAGACGTAAAATCTTAATGCATTAAATCTTTGCATGGATTGTGGTATACCTGGCTCGTACGCCACGCGAATTGCCTCTGGCTGAGATACGATGCGCGTACCAGTGTGTACGTCGGGCGTACGGTTCAGGAAGCCTTGTGAAGCGTTGGGCTCAAATCTTTGGGCCTTATGTAGGTTTTTAGGTTTTGACCGTGGGCCTGAGGTTTTGGATCAATTAGGCCCTGGAATTCATTATTGGATCATTAGTAGCTTAGTTGGTACTTTTGGGCCTTGTGGCCCATAATGGTTGCGGACTTTGGATGCTAGGCCCATTAGTGAAGGAATGACCTTTGGGCCTCTATGGAGGAACTTGGACTTAGATTTCTGGGCTTTTTAACTAGGGTGAATTATAATCCTAATTTAAGGTTATTTGTATTGTTGTTCAGTGTAAGGTTTCAGACTGTTAGGCGAGCATCTATTGTGTTCAGCAGATTAAGGTGAGTCTTCTTACTACACCCATGAGTCGAAGGCACCAAGGCCGACCCATTAATTGTTATGAGATGTTAGTAATTGATTATGCTATGGGTTGCATTGACTTATGTGCTGACTTATGTGAAGACTATGGGGGGAGCCCATGGTACTGGGATACAAGACCATGGGGGTACCCCACGACATTCCAAATGAAGACCCTGGAGGGAGTCCATGTAAAACCTATGTTTATGTGTGCATGGCAATATATGGTCATGTGTTTATGTGTTTTGGGGAAACTCACTAAGCGTGTGCTTACAGTTTTGTTGTGTGTTTCTGGTACGTCTGGTTCTAAGGGAAAGGACCCGGCTTGATGGCGCAGCATGCACTCCCCAATATTTCTGCACTTACTATCTGAAAACTATGATCTTTTAAACAATGTAGTTATGTAATGGGATTTTTGGAAACAAATGTGGTTGATATTATTAACTATTTAAATGAAAATTTTCCTATAAATTTTGGGTTGTTACAAGTTGGTATCAGAGCCTTGGTTTGAGGGATTCAGACACTCTCTTTAGTGTGTCAGAACTCAAATTGAGGAAATGGTAAACCCTTTTTCTAAAAGAAACCAAAAGTTACAAATTTTCTCGAAAACGATTTTATAAGTAAAAGGGGAGAGTGCAATGCACGTAATCGGCCGAGCTCAAGTAAGTGTTCCCAGTGTACTAGCCATACTATAGTTATATTTGGAAATTGATGATTGAATTGATTACTTGCCATGTGTATGCTTTCAAAGTTGTATATGTGTAGGATTACATAGCCCTAGAATGATGAATTATGTCTTATTCCTATTCCTTGTTTGGTTGTGGTTTAGGGTAGAAGCTTCTTTGACAGTCTATGTGATTCTATTTGAGTATAACTTGCACGCATAGGGCAACCTGCTATGATTGGTTTAAGTTTTAGGTTCAGTAGGAATTGGGAAATCCTAGGATAGTCTAGGATCTGAGTTGGTGTTGTGTTTTGTGGGTCATGATGAATGGTCGGGTGAATTAGGGGTATCAGGTATGACCATGGGGAAGGTACAGGTAGCTGTCGAAAGTAGTATTGGGCCCGTACCACTGAAAGCACATGACATGTACCCGAAACATGTCACACCCCCGAACCAGACGGCGGAAACGTCCGGGGGCTTGTACGTGACTTCATCTTGTAATATCATCACAGTGTATATAATTGAAACAAGACAACACCATCATCACACATATCAAAATACAACCAACATTGTTTACATCAAGTATAGTATCATAGATTACATGCCAAAACATTCAATGTATGATGATAACAAAATACGACAAATTCCACATGTTCTTGTTAACCTTTCCGCTTAACGATTCCCTGAGAATACAAGTTATTTTGAAAATGTCAACATATATAATGTTGGTGAGTTCATAAGCATGTTTGAATGAAAAGTTTGTATTGTTCGTAAAACACCATAAAATCCGATATTTTCTGTAAAATGGTTTGAAAGTGATGTATCAAAATCAAGTATTGATGCATGTGTGTTTTCTGTTTTTGGAATGTATATAAAAATGTAATTCGGATAAAAATCTTGTGTTTTCTGTTGTAAGTAGAAGGTATTGTTTAACTGTATATTTCCCCAGAAAATCCTGTATTTTCTGTTTACAAGAGTGTCGTGGTCTCTATGTGACCCTAAGACCGAATATCAGTGTATACATATTTTCGTATCAACAAGATTTTATATGTGTTCCGTAAAATTATGATGGAGAGAATCTCTATGTGAGCCATTTTAACCATACTTGATTATGACGAATTCGCCTGTCGTGGCGTTTTCAGGCGCCGACTTGTTTAAGGTAAGGTTTGTCACCCTAGACTGGCCTAGTCTAACTGTAGTGAACAGCTCAGGTGTGGGGTGTCACCCCGTATAGATCTATACACAAACTCTCGCTCTCCCTCCCGGAGACTCTGGTTATAACTACAGGCTACGATCGTACACTCTAGAGGTGTCAACCGACATGTCTCACTAGATCCTTATTGAGTTTACGCGAATATTGTATCATGTTATGTATAATGTTTTCCGTGTACGTTTTATGTTTGAAAAGTCCAACGAGTATGTATGTGAAAGTACGAGGCCCAACAGACATGTAGAATGACCACTAAGGCCCAATAAACATGTAATGTATAGTCTAGGCCCAATAAGCATGTAAATGGACCACTACGGCCCAATAAACATGTAATGTATAATCCAGGACCAATAAGCATGTAAATGGGCCACTAAGGCCCAATAACATGGATTGTAGGTATTAGGCCCAATAAACATGTAATCGATGAATTTAGTTCGTTTGTTATTACATTGTTTGTTTTAGCTTGATTATTTTCTAAAATGGAATAAAAAGCCCACTTTGTGTAATGATGACAGTTTTGGCCCATTAAGCCAAAATTTACAATTTAGGCATATTTTTGATGAAATTGACACTTTAGGTCCTTCAAGACCAAAAATTTACCTTTATGGGCTCATTTCAAATAAAATGACATTTTTAGCCCACTTTGGTTAAAAATAACATTTTTGGCCCATTATCATAAAAATTGACATCTTCGGCCCATTTGTATATAAATTGATGTTTTCAGCCTATCATTATAAAATTTTACATTTTTGGCCTATTTATATGTATAATTTATGTTTTCAGCCCATTTTTGATAAAAATGACATTTTCGGCCCAAGTTTTGTGAAAATAACATTTTAGGCCCAAATCCAAATAAAGTGACAATTTCAGCCCATAAAACCGTAAATTTACATTTTTGGCTTAAACTTGTGTTAAATGACAATTTAATCCATAAAAATCATAAATTTACAAATTAAGCCTAATGAAACCGTGAAGGCCCCAATTTAAGCCCAGTTTGTGAAAAATATACTCTTGTGGGCCTTTTTAAAACTATAATGTCATAAAAACCTATTTTTATACAAAAATGACTCCTTGGTCCTTGAAAAACCGTAAGTATCATAAAAGCTTCATCCTTTTTGTTTATTTGTCAAAAATGGTCCCTTTACAAGATTTTGTTTA